GAGCGAAGGGCTAACGCTCGAAACGTCAGCTTTTGCAATCGTTACGGTTGCCAATTTACCATTTCAACTTTGTTGATATATCCAAATTATTTCGTTACCCCCACCGACGCAGCCCCAAACAGTTTCTTTAGAAACTATCAGCCTTTATTAATTTCCGACTGTCAATTGAGGAAACTAGCCAAGAAATTGTCACCAGTACACCTGAAACTTCTTTTACCGGTATTACTGTCGGTCGAAATGACATTGTGGCTGGCGCTCACTGAAAAAAACTGCAAGTTTCGAGTTTCAAGAAGGGATTCATTCTTCAGCAAATGCGCCCTTGGTGGCAATACAGACACTATTTTGAAGAACCACAATTCACTTTTTTTAGGTGTGCGTGCACCGAAGTATGAATGCCCTTGGAGAGTTTGGATGCCTTTCAAGAAGCTAGAATTGCCCAAGACTGCGCCTCGAGCAACTCTTACGCTTCAGTTTTCTCTTCCTGCGTGCATCCATACCTCGATACACACACTAAGTATGAAACTATTCTTAAATGCTTAGAAAGGCCCATAGAAACGGCCCAGCTTTAATCGTGGCTGTGATTTTCGTCTTTTTTTTTTTTTATTAGTATGAACCTTTCTAATCGTAGTCAACCTTAATAATTACTGAACAGTGTGAGAATTTTAATCACGAAAGGGCTGTGCTAGATACCACGAATATACATCTGCTTTTTTTTTTTTTTTTTTAATAATTATTTGCCGAAGTAGAGGCGAATAGCTGTAGACGTTCGCTGCGCTGCGAAGCCGGTAGGGTGAAATATCTTCGAATTTTACCTGCTCTGAGAAGAATACTCGTTGATGAAAATTGTAGATATTTATATGAGGGAAAGAAAAAAAACAACAGGATTCGACGAATGGGCAATGAAACCGTATCTCCTTGAAAATTTATATGCAAGTTTTTAAAAATATATATTTAAGACAACGGGCCATACTAGTAGACAGGTGACTCTTCAGCCGAGTTTCGAGAATATTCTTCTGATGTGTTATTTCTGAAATAAAATCGACATAATTCTGCTTGCACAGCTTGATTTTCTACCTTACAATGGATTTTATTGACCATCATTTGGATGGAGTGGGAAGAAGCTTTATAAGGTGTAAATAAGTTGCAAATTTGGAAAAAGATTTCTTTTGATTGAAGGTAAATTTCAAAATAGTTGTCAAAAAGTGAAGCCAAAAGCCTACGATCAAGTCATAAAGCAACAAAATAATTTTATTTTTAGTCATTTTACTTCTAGACATGAAAATAAGCATTTTCATCTGTGATTAGAGACTGTTATTGCAAATTATTCTTTTAGTTGAAAGTCTAAAATTTTCCCATCATTGAAAATAGCCAGCTTGAACTATGCGCCCGTTAAATAATAGATTAAACATTAATTTACAAGGCCTTTGTGTCTTGGCTCCGCCTTAATGAGTCAATAGGGACCTTAAGCAGTCAGGAAGGCAACGCTAAGGAAGACGTTGATTAAAAAATAAATTTCTACTTTTAATCAGAATTTCGAAAATTGCTGCATGTGTTTACCATCTCATACGGCGCCACAACTCAACCCCAAAATAACATATAAAAGTAGCGTTGAGTTTCAAATGGAAATTAAAATAGTTTGCCTTTGCGGTTTCGGTTCGTGAACGAGCAAGTTTTGGTGATTTCACGTTGTTTTTTGCACAGCAAGGCTATGAAATGTACTAAGTTTTAAAATGCACATGCTGAGCTATTGTTCTTCCAATTAGATCTTTTGTTTTTCCACGTCCTCGTTGCCGTCACCGTCGTGGTTTGCTTAAGGTCTCAAATAATGAGCTAAGACAGCAATCAGATTGCCTCATTAGGGCATGTATCTCGCTTCAATCATATGACAGTTTTTCGAAATCTTACACCAATCACAGCATTTGGGTGTTGTTTCCTTGCCAATGAAATCATAGAATCAGGGGACTGGGCCAAAGAATGACATTAACCAGACATATTGGGCTGATTTCGTAAGTGTTAAAATTGTGGCCATCGTAAGAGTCTCGTCGATCAAGGTCGAGATTTATCGGGATAAGAAAGGTTGGCGGGTAATTTTTAAGTAAAAATGTGTTTTTCCGCTCTTCTACTTGCAACGCACACGCCGAACAACTTACATTCCACGACCAACAATGAAAACAACGTCCAAAGTCCAATCAGAACATACCTAACCAACCACTGCATTACATGAACTTTAGGTAATTTTTGATAATCCACCAATCAAATTCCATTTCGCCACATTAGACTTTGCTCCGTGATCAAGTGTCATTTTCTTGTAAACAACCCTCATTGTATTACATATTTAACACACGGGGAGCAAAGTCCAGACATACAACAACCAATCAGGGAGCCCTCTTTGAAATGTGCTCTTTTTCTCATTGTTAAGTGTATTTTCACTTATTCGAAGAACAGAGATGGCAATTTATCTTCGGTTAGGATTTGTAAGAGATACAATGGAGTTTCCGTTTATTTTTTACGGTAAAATTACGTGAAATGATATTTTTGAGGCAACTAACGGTAAACGAATAATTTTGATCTTCCTTCTCTGGTAGAGGAACGGCATTAAGGTTACTTTCATTCGCAACCGTTGTTTGGTCTCGTCACGCAACTTGCTCTCTCTCCCTCCAACTGCAACCTCGTTCTTTTTAATTCTTTGTATCTAATTTTATTCCTCTTGCTCGCTTGTCTATCGATGTCCAAAACGCACCAACACGTTTCCTAATTAATCAGCTCCTTTATTCTAAGAATCACTCCGCTTAAACTCCAGGCTTAACTACAGCATCAACCGACTCGAGCGCATGCAGGATCGCTATATTTTACTAAGTAGCTACGTGATACCTAGGAGTACAAAGTACATTCTGGGAAATTGAGTGAAGTCATTTCCGGTCATAAACAACAAAGAGCAATAACAACTAAACGAAATAAGGCATTGTTCACGGTAACCGACATAGTCCCATTATACGACCTTCTTGGGTCTCTTTAGTTAACTTTTTGTAAACCTGATCTGGGTGCTCAAATGCTGAGACGAGATTTTTGGAAAACCTGCTCTCTATGGGGCCATAATAATGTAAACGGAAGCCATGTAAAAAACCTCTTAATACATAATTACGCAGCTTCTCTGGGTACTCCGATAAGTACTTTGCTAAGCTCT